TTTATGAAGAAAAAAACATTTTTTTTGAGACTTCCGTTTTAAGGGGAGAATTACAAAACAAGATAAAAGGAAGGTTTTAAGTTATCGTCCTGAATAGTCTCACAATGATGTATATTTTTTAAAAAAAGTTTTCATTTCAAAAGTCTACCTCACTCAATCTGTATAAGCTTTTAATTAGATTTGCACCTTAAATTATGCCAGCTTTTATGTTTCCATATCTATAACTAAAAATCATATTTTAGTAATCAGAGGGCAGCACCAAATTAAAAATTGAGAGGGTTTAATTTTTGTATCTATTTAACTCTATATAAAAGCGAAATTCAAAAGTTAAATTTTAAGCAAGAAAAATTATCATTAGTGTAATTTACTAAAACTAGTTCTTGAAAAGTAATTTTATTCGCTGTGGATGCAGAAAAATTCTTTTTTCTCTTGTGTCTGTTATTTTGAAACTAGGTGTGCTGTACTGGTTACGATGCTCGGTATTCAACCTATTTCAGAGGGAAAAAATAGGCACATAAGTTTGAATTTTTAAAAAAACGCAATTTTCCTAAAATAATAAGAAATAAACCTTAAAAAATTAATATCTTGACTGCATCTGGAAAGCAATTACGTTACCTAAACGCTTCTATAGATATTGCCCTAACTGTGGAATAAAAATGTTTTTAAGAGAATCTAGTGTTTATTGATTTGACCTTGGTAAGCAAAGATAATCGGATACAATAAGGAAAACAGTTATAGGCCCAGGACTTCACAATGCCAGTATCTTGTGATAAGTTCGAGGAAAAAGTCTAAAAGCTATGAATTAAAAGAACATCCGTCATACCCAGCAAAATTTTAATAAAATAATTCTTAAACAAACGATTTCATATTTTTAATTTACAAATGTCTCTTTTTCCTGTATTATTCTTTTATATTGTTCGAATATAGTCACATTTATTTTTTCACGACATGAAGTTTTATAGTAAGATTCACTATAGGAGGCGACTCCGTTGTAAAATCCTACAAAATATTTGAACACATATTTTTACAGTCCACCCCCCCCCCAATGCGTTTCAACAACGAGCTCGAAAACTTATCTAATGCGATATTGTATAGCTGAAAAACCCTGAGCTTAACCAACCCGATCAAAAATTTGATTTCTGAATTTGTGTTTTTAAACAATTTATTTAAAGAAACTTTTAAGAATCGTTTATTTTCATATAATGAGCCTTTCCTCGAGCAAATTTAATTATTGTTTTGGTTGTCTTGCAACATTTATTACAGTACAAAACCCGTTATCCGGAAATCAGAAAACCGGAAAACCAAAAAACCGGAATGAAATTCGATAAATTTTCCCGCCATTTTTTTCAAGAAATTTTTTTTTTCCTCATAAGATTTTAGTATTTTTCTTTCTTTTTTGAAAGATGTTTACCTTACCATCATTTCGGAAATAATCATTAGTGTATTACTTCATCGTTTTTTCTTCTTTTTAAGATTATTTCCAAAAAGTTTTTTTAGTTGGGTTTAACAATAAAAAAAAACGGCTTTTTACAGCGATTCAGAAAACCGGAAAAATCAGTTATCCGGAATGGCGATGGTCCCGATCGTTCCGGATAATCGGTTCCCTACTGTATTACAATATCTTTATGCAGCAACCCAGAAAGCATGTTACCTTAAGGCAATCTTGCGTCGGAATTTTCATATTATTGTCTCGAAAATGTTTGCACTAGAAACCTTCTTTCAATAAAGCAAAAATACTGCAGTTTTAAACCTTTCATCCTAAAAGGTTTAACAATTATTTTTTAAAGCTTTTTTAAAAAGTATGGTCACTTGCGGTCCATAATGACGTTTTGGCTGACGTCCTTCTAGCGATAGGATCAAATTGCTCTGTCCGTTAATGTTTCATGACAAGGTGGATTTTAGTTGAGCATAACAAGACTTCGCGAAAAGAAACCTTATAATGACCTAGATTTAAGATTATTTTCGCCTCGAGAATAGCCTTATGAACGGATTTTTTTTCCACACGCTTGAAAACCCTAAGACAACCTCGATTTAAGGTTCTTTAATAGAAGGTTGTTTTCCAAGATTTTGGATTAAGGTAGAGAAGATTGTCGCAGATCTAATTTTAAGGTTAGAAGGTTTACACGTAAACCTTTTTAGGTTTGCATTAAAAGATTTTTCTTGAGTGAAAATAAACCTTATTTTTCTATCTGGGGAGATTTGTGTAGATCAATAAGGAAGCGGTCAAGGAGTTGAAATTGTCTTAACATTTTTGAGCGACTTTTTTTTCATAAAAATTTTTTTTTTTTATTTCATTTTATTAGTATTTTTATATATTTTTATTGTTACTAAAAATGTTTACCTTTACTATACTTTTTTAATTTCCTTACTAACTCATAGACCTACTATTATTTCTTAACACGACCACATTAATTAATACAATATCTTTACCCACGAAGATTTGCAATTAATTATTGAACAATTATGAAGCAGTCAGAAAGTTAAAATTGTCTTAACTTTTTTTTTAAAGAAAATGCGTTTTATTTTATTGTTATTATTTTGATATTTTTTTTATTTAAACTATGATTTTTTTTCTTTCCTCACCAAGTCATAGTTTGTTTTGATCGGCATAATCCCCGCATGTTTACCAATAATTTCTTAACCCCGTAGCATTGATTATTGCAATATCCTTATATATGTTCATAGCGTCATTTACGGCATCGTCAGAATTTTTAACAGCGTATTTGCTTTTTGCAACATTATTTCTTTATAAGTAATGGCTTACCGTTTCTTTAGAAATATTTTGAATGATAAAGAACATTGAGTAAATATCGAAATAATATTATAAATCTTAAGCAAATCAATATTCGGTAAAACTTAAATGATTGTAACTTATTTTATTGATTAATTTTTTCGTAATTCATGTTTCGCAACCTTATTACAAGCATAAAGCTTAGAAAAATAACTTGATTGAGAGCATTGATTAAAAACTCAATTCCTAATCTCATCAGGAAGTTTCTCAGGAACTACTCGACCGATTACTTTCAAGTTTTTATTTAGTCCAATAATCACATTCTTTAAAACGAAGCCAAAATTCGTACACCATACAATACGAAATTTTTCCTTCATTCTTAAATAAAAATTTCAAAAAATTATTAAAAGTTATTTTTTTACATGAAATAAATTTTGAATAAATGAATTTTATAATTGCGTTTAAAAATTTTTCCATTCCCTTTAAAAATTCTCGAGTTGTGGCGAAATTCACTAAATTTAATTTGTTTTTAGTTTCATTTGGAAAAGTCTACAGAAGACAGCCTCTATGTCAAGTGAGTTCAGCCTAATTATTTTGAGCATTAATGTGATTCATTTTATGTGATGTGAAACAAGGAAAATTTTTGATATAATCTTATCCAAGTCAAACTTTTTGATTGTTTTCCATTGATGGACAAACGTAATATTGATAGTAACCATCAATAATTCCATCATGAACCATTCTATTTTTGATGGTGTAAGAAACCATCACTCCAATGTAGGATTTTGGACAGATTTATGATGGACTAACTTAATAATCAGACCGGACAGATTTATTGTTTTGATGGTTTCTTCATGTTGAACCATCAGATATTTCTATCAAATGTTGGAACCTCGGCATACAAAAACTTGATAGCCGAGGCTGGAACGATCATAAACAACCATCATTTAGTCAGACCTTTGCCAAAATTTAAATGCAATTCCTACCTACTCACATGCAACATGTTAATTTAGTTTAAAGTCAAATAACATAATCAAACAACATGCTAATTAAGTAAATTCATTTCAAACTTCCAGTTTTTAAATCAGCTTTTTTATTTCGTTTAAATATTCTTTCGCAATATTCGCAAATCACCTGATTTATGATTAATAATACGAAGAAACATTAATAAATAAAAACAAGAAAACATTTATAGATATAAGCAAGAAACAATAATACCACGTGTAAACAGAGCGCGTTTGATAGCTAGATTTAAAATCTGTAGCCTAGAGCCCCTGATTTTAGACAGGCCGACTCATCATCTATATTTGCTCCAAAGAGCTAACATAAGCACAATACTAACGTAACGTTAACTTGTGAACTTTTTTGCTCCAATATTGCTTGATAGGTCAGCTCTGATAGTATAGGAGCCTTACTGTAGCCAAATCAAAATCTGTCGCCTATTTACTATGCAGTACACAGCATGTCCCTTTCCCCAAACAGTGATGTCATTTACGAAATTACAGGCTTTTGATTGGCTTGCCATTGCCATTGCGAAAATTTAGCTGAATTCCGCCCTAATGACTACAATTGTCCGAAAATCAATCAAATGGACAGATTGATATTTCGCTTAACCATTGGGTGGACTTTATGGATGGGTGGTCTAATGTAAACAATAACAAGCGTCCTTAAACCGGAAGAAATTTAGAAAATTTCCGGTGTATCCCTCCGCTTATGTTATGACTACGAGGCGATGTGTGAACAAGCCTAATATTCTATGCAGTTTTGTTATTGTAATTTGGGTTCAAATCTAAACATAATTGTACCATTCATAAGAGCTTTCAGAAATGTATTGATTCTCAGAGGTCGTAAGGCCAAAAAAAATTTTGGAAAGTTAATATCTCATTGTGAATAATTCTTAAGGTTTGCCATGTTTTGTATTTTATCCCTTATTTGGCTACATTTGAATAAAATGTCGCCAAAAATATCTTTTTAAGTTAGCCTAATTAGAAAATATTCTAATGATTATAATATTAATATGATAATGCTGAAGTTTAAAGGCTGAAAGAAAGAACTCGGTACATGTGAAATACTGCAAAAGATATGATACAATAATATGATGGCGCGTTTTTTCAATTTGCGGCGTAAAAATATATCGGAAGCAATAACCCGGAAGTCTTGAAAGAGCAATTTTACCACTAGCGCCACCACCCTTAGCTTTACACGATCACCCATCCATAGCTATTTTAAGTTCTAGTTAATTTTCTTGTTATATATGTATAATGAGGTGAAAAATTTAAATACCTCCATAAAGTTCAATTTTTCATTACTGAAGTAGTGAAGCAGAGGTGGGGGGGGGGGTTAAAAAGCCTTTGCCCTGGGCCCCAATCACGCTAAGTTGGGCCTTGCCAGCACTTTACGATAGAACAACGCACCCTCGATCCCTACACAGGCATATCAAAGTGGTCACCCACCCGCTTGCTTAGTGACCGCAGTCATTGATGTTTGACTTCCCATTAGGAAACGTTTTAAATAAGGAGCTACAACTACTGATCCTGTTTTTTTACTCATATGCATACGTTACTCAATTGAACGTGACGAGGCAACTCATTTCTAAATTTTCGATAGCGAAGGAAGGGGAAACAAATAAAGCGAGAATTGTCCTTAAAATCAAGGATTGAAGTTCAGGTAAAAGCTATCCTCAGAATAGCATATAAGATCTAGTTTTACTCTGCCAGAAGATACGCCAGAAGACGTACCCAGAGTCCAATCAAATTTCATAACTAATTTTAATAAAAAAAAGCAAATTTCGCCGGCAACTTGTTTATTCTAAATCGTCTTCCTCATCGATGGTATAAGTTTTGGTTTCATAGTTTCCCGTTACTAGTGTATTTTGTCTGCACCTTTTATAAAAGCGCTTTTGTAATCGATTGTGGTAAGTATAAATCTCCTCGAATTCTTGGAATTTCTTCCATACTTAAAATTTTTTCATTTTAGATTTTCAAATTTTGTACATCTTATTTACGATACTATGCAATAATTATTTCAGTGTCATGACCTGTCCCATTTTATAAAGTAAAAATGAATACAATATTTTGAATTGGCGCATTATTATAATTGTCTAGTATTTTAAATTTATGTTTTCAGATTAAAACTATGCAACAAACGTTCGCTTCATTATAAGAACTTTTACTTGAATAATTTTTAGGTTGGAATATAAATTTAGGCCCCTTAGATTGGGCCCTGTACTTCGGAGTTTTTGCTTTGTAATAAAATCTTCTATGTTTCCTTTTATTTTTATCTCAGAAAATCTTGCTTTTGACGTTTTCCCTGTTTTTTCTAAGAAAATAAAAAACCGCCGAAACGAAAAAGCGAAACACTCAATAAGGACATAGTTTGCTGTTTCTACTATTATATTTTTGCGACAATTGATTGGTCCAAACCTTTTTGTTGACATACATCTTGTCCTAAGAAGTTAATTTTAAAGTTCTGCAGTTTCCTTTTAGATTGAAAATTTTTGTAACCTTTGTTGAACATCAGACTCAAATTTGAGTTTATGGCTACCAATGTTCAACTCAGGAACTCTGTAATTTTGAATCTAATCCAGAAGACAAGGGAACTCCTAGATCAGGTATTGGGAGAAATGTACCTTTGTAGAGGACTTTTTGATAGAACTAACCCCTCGTTAACGTGACATGGAGAAGAAAACCACAAAAAATCTCGCATGGTTAGCCTGATCTGCCGTACCAACTACAATCACCAAGGCACCGAATTGTATTTAAACTGCAAAGTTTTTTAAACAAAAATAAAAGAGGGGTTTGCCCTGGGGGTGGCAATGAGTTATAACCTTCGAATTGGTTCCTTTCTGTGATGTTTTTTTGTTTTCCTCCCAGGGGCAAGATTATATTTGATAGTGAATTTCAATTAGAAAGGATCTCAATTAGAAAAAAAAAAGAAAGCAATATCTCGGAAGTTGAAAAGATAGTTCCGTTCTAAAAAACATGTTCTTTGATATATATATATTTGTTTCAAGTATACCATATATTTCATTTTAATGAAATCTGACTGTGAGTGGGGATTTTGTTACTTATTCCGATTTGTAGCAAAATAATGTCCTTTTTTTTAAAAAAAAATTTGGCTGAAATAATGTCTATCCAACTTTTTAAAAAATTACGTGCATGAAATTTTCTTTCACAACTCTCACAGATTCCAGCGTAAATATATATAGTATTTTTATCATTTTTTTAGGCAATTTTTGCTTTGTTTTTTCAAAATTCAGATGTCTTTCATTGCTCAGTTATTATATTTATTCTCATCAATTGAGATCAATATTATTATAGTACCGGAAATTCGAATCTCAGATTGAAGTAATCATTCTTTGACAGGGTTGGGTTTTTGACGTCAAAAAGTGGTTTTTGACATGACAAGGGTATAATACTGGTTTAAACCGTCAAAAACCCAAGTTTGCCAAAAAAATATATAAACTTCAAAACTACCAACAGTTGCCATGCATTATATTGAAATTTAATTATACTATAGGTAATCAGCAGGTTTTAANCTGCTACTGAATACCATGGGGTTTTTAAAAATTTGATTATTTCATAGTTGATATTATTTCGGCATGTAAAATTTAAATAATTACTTTCTGACGCCTTCATTCTATGCCGCTAGTGTTACATCTAGTGTTTCAATTTTCGCCAACTATTGGCATTGATTTTTACATATTCCGAGGTCTATTTCTGAGAATATACGAAATTCGAATCTTGCATGGGAATATTTATATTTTAAAGCAATTATTCTATCCCTTTTTTGGGGATGGAGGACATTTGTTTAACACAATATTATTTATTACAATAATCGAATCTCGAAACGAAACACTGATTTAATTCCCCCCACTTTTAAAATCCATGTTCGTGTAATTTAACAGTCAATCTTTTTTTTTTTTGTAGTAATTACTGCTATGAATTTTGTGATTTTTTTTTTTTTTTTTTTTTAAATTATTTATTTTATGTGGTGTGATACTTTATGAAATGCGAAAAAGGAAATAATTAGTGTGTTTTTCTTCTACAAATAAGAGAATATCGCTCATATTAGAATAGAAAGTAGTAATACATGATAATTTTAAAAAAATTATATACAATTTTATTTTATCCAAATAGGTTTTTTTTTAATTAATTTTGTAAACACACTGTTTCTGTTACTTCAAATTAGCAACATGTATATTTGTTATTAAAAGTATCTCGCAGAAAGAAATTAGTGCTAAAGGAAAGGGCCCAGAAAGCCCCAAAAAATTCTGCCGCAGGGTACTAGGTAAATACAAAAGTTTATAACTTGATAATCTAAAAATTAATTCTGGCAAACATCTAAATGAAAGTTTGTTGAAAATAAGTTTTTTCTCATTAGAATCTAAAAAATAAACTTTTGAAATAAAAGTTAAATAAATTATAATTTTGAATTAAATATTTTTTACATAATTATTAAAAATAGAAAGCCACTTAATATTGGATGTCTTTAAAATTTTGTATAAATTGTGTTTATGGTGGCTTATATAATCAGGAAAAGATTTCTTGTTTAGAAACTAGTTATTTTATTATGATCATGTAAAGTCTTAGGATATTATTTCGTTGATGTATTTATGAACAACTTTCAACAAAAGGAAGAAAATTTTTTATTAGTGTGTCCTTATTACAAGATTAGAAGTTTGGTGTCAAAGACTGGTTTTTGTTTTGACATGTCAAAACCTGTCGCAAATTGACAAAATCAGTTTTAAAAAAAAAGTCAAAAGCCTGTGACAAGTTTCTTTATTAACATTGGGGAAATTTTATTTGACATTAAGTCCTGCACAATACTTGCATTGTATACTACGTAAAATCATTTTTAATGTTTTTCTAAACACATGGTACTCATAGTTATTACTTGTAATATATTAAAAGTTATTAATTACTATCAATCTAAATTGGATTATTTATGCTAAGTAAAACTAAAATGGTCACTAATAGTTGTCCACTTAAATATTAAAAAAAATTTTTTTTTTTTGATTTTTAATGTTTGTTATTATTATTTATATGCAGGTTAAGAGAAAATTTCTAATCATGTGAACAAGGTTTTTAGGGAAATTCAGGCAGTCAAAGGAAAATTTCCTTCTAAAAAAATTCCTATGAAATTTCATGTTACAAAAATTTGTATGTTTCAAATTTTTTCATTGTTAAAAACCATTAAATGTCAACTTGTCAAGTCCGTTAGTTTGAATTCCTTGAGTTTATGAGTAGGACCTTTTTAATTTAATAAATTATTACTACTTCAACATATTACTTTGATTTCTAAAAATTTTTCATAAATTCTCGTTTATTCGGGAATTGCGAAAAGTCAAGCAAAAAAATGTTTAAAAGGTGCTCATTTTTCGTTGAAAAATTTGACTACGCATCTTGTCTGGAATTAAGTAATTGATTTTTTATTTTAGCAAAAATTTGATTTAGAAAAAATCTTGCTGTTCACTCGCAATAGTGTAATTAATTTATCTAAGTACAGAGTTGGCCTGGTACTTGTATGATTATATCTGGTTTCCGCAATGATATTTAAGGATGCGAAATTCTAATTGCATGGATCATTTGAGTAAGCACGTTTTAATGCTTTCGCATCACGTAATTCTATCATAAATCCATATTAAGAAAAGAATTCAAAATAATTAAAAGCAATATTTTTATCACAAATGCATGTGGTTTTGTTTCCTTTTAATATCTTTTGACAATCATTGCCATACATTTAAGTTTTTAAAATGTACTTTTAGCTTGCAAAATATCAATTGATTCCCTATCTCTGTTGGAAAAAGGCATTTTTTTTTTTTTTCGAAATGTGAGATTGTCTTCAATATTAGAATATACATCTTATGTATGTTGAGAAATATTATTAGATATAAAAGTGATTCTTTTTCCCCATTTAATTGAAGAGAAATTGTCTCATTTAAAAACTTTCAACCATAAAGCTTCTAAAAAAATTTCACATATAATTTCTTATTACAGCAATCTGATATCTGAAAAGTAACACCCCACTCCATATGATTTTAAATATTTACGCAAATCAAATTTTCTTTCTTTCAATAACTAATTTCGTTTACCTAATTTGTTAGGTTTAAAAATTTTAAATGTATTTATTTATTTTTTTTTAAAGAAAATATGTTAAAAAATTTATTGCCCATTGATTTAAATGACATTACACATTCTTTGCAATCAAAATTTGATAAAAGATGTGTTTCAAAATTGTTTGATTGTTAAGTCGGCAGTTGTTATTAATCATCTAGTGATAAATAAATTTTATAAGTGTGTTTTGATCCCCGTAGCAGGATCACAGAGACATAGTCGCAGAACTTTAGAGTTCTTTCAGAAAGATTTTTCTTTGGAGAAGTAAAAAATTTTAGTTCTCTTTTGTACAGAAATTTACATGTTATATTTGAATCATACATTCAGATAATCACGCCTTTGGCGCGCTCAATTTACGTAGATAGTATCGTAAATAGACTTATGTTTTGATAGAATTTTTGACAGTTATGGATATTGATTTTCATGTGGTTTTTAAATATCCTGATATATTTCAAACAATATGAAGAATTCGAATCGTGTATTTGAGTATTTACCTTTTAAGGCAATGATTCTATCGAATTTTCAGCAGTTATTGCAATTCATTTCTCCATAAGTTTTAAATCTGATATTCTATGTATGTGATATTATTTATCACGACAATCTATTCTCGGGACGAAACGCATATTCACTAGTCCAATTCGCTTGATTTCGTCGCCATTCTTTCTTTCGGCAATGACTGCTACAGATTTAACTATATTTAATTGTGTTTATTATTGTGATGATTAGTTACTGGTTACAAACTGCGAAGAAGGAAATAATTTGCCCCCCCCCCCAATTCTGCCACAGGAGTTTCGTATATCTTTTATGGAATAGTCAAAAAAGCTGATTGGCATTGAAGGGTTCTATTGAAATATTTTTCAAAGAATATTATGACTAATATCTAATTGTCTATTTCAGGGAAGAAGGATGTCTTCGGACCGTAAAGCAGTCATAAAAAATGCAGACATGTCAGAAGAGATGCAGCAGGATGCTGTTGATATTGCGACCCAAGCTCTGGAGAAGTATAATATAGAAAAAGATATTGCTGCTTATATCAAGAAAGAATTTGACAAGAAATATAACCCAACCTGGCATTGTATCGTAGGTCGAAATTTCGGTAGTTACGTCACTCACGAAACGAAGCACTTCATTTATTTCTACTTGGGACAAGTTGCAATTCTCTTATTCAAATCTGGATAGACCCCTCAAGTAATAAACTCTGTTAGTTCTTTATTTTCTGCATCATCATTTGTTTGTATAATATTTATTTTAATCTGTTGTACAAATTGTAATTATCAGTTACATGTTCATAAGTGAAATACTCAAAGCTTGAATAAAGTCAGTTCTTGCATCCTCTCAGTTCATCCACATTTCATTAAATCTTCTTTTGCGTACTTTGATATCTTTATAAAGCAAATCAAAAATCTTTTGCACACAATTTGTTTATCCAGTGAAGAAAAGATCATTAGTTAATATTTTATTAGAAAACCCAAAACATATATTCGTTGTCATAATAGTTCGATGAATTTTGTCTTAATTTTTTTGTCTTTAGTTATGACTTGCAAGGTGCCCATATAAATTTATGCTCATTGCAACTCAAATTTTTTTGTTGCTATCATTAAATAAATAATTATTGGTAATTAATTTTTGTAGGAAATTATCTCTGGATAAACTTAATTTTACTGGGTGCCTAGCATTTTTTGAAAGTGCTTAAAGGTTCTTATTTTTCATTTATTATTTTAAAAGCCTTTAAAGATGCTTTTTTTTTATTCAGAGTTAGTAAAAGATGCTCAAAGTGCTTTTAAAAAGATAATTTTTCTTTGCCGTATCAATTGTCGTTCTAAATTACCAAAAAAAAAAAAAAAATGCATGATGTCTACATTTTCTCTGCTATATTTATCAGAAACTAGTTATTTTATCATAATTTTGTTAAGTTTTTGAAAATGATTTTGAATTTTATTGATTTTATGTTTATACATTAAGAACGTTTTAAGTTCTTAATAGAAAAACAGTAATTTTTGTTAAGTGATTAAAAATATTTTTTGAGTGCTTAAAAATATTTATAAAGGAGCTTATTTTTTGTTGAAAAATCTGGCTATGCACCCTGTTTTACAATTGTGTGCCAAATTGTTTTGATACTATATATGTTCTAGGATATATAGCAAAAAAGTAAAATTCACATTAAGTCTACTTCTTTCCAAACGTAACTAATGTGGAACAAGATTTCGCTCAGTGATTTAAAATACTTTTACCAAAATATATAGAAAGCAGTCCAGCTCTTCGACTGTGTAATGAGCGATCTGTGCTGTATGCTATACCAGAAAAACAACTTGCAGAATTAGCTTCAGGTTTACCAGAGTATGTGTTCAGACCCTGCGCATAAGAAGCAAAGTGACAGCAGATATGAACAGGTTGTTGCACAATTCTACATGATTTTGAGTATTAGAAATTTATTTTGAAATTGCCATGCTTGTTGAGCCCCCTCTTTAATTCAGTATTGAGTTCTATGTAAAAAAAATTGAATAGATTTGAAAATCAAGGTAGAAATTAACGTACTTCTTATGACCCTCTTCACAAATTAGACTACTGTAAAAATAGTGTTAAAAACTATTTTTAACTTATAATGGTATAAGTTACTGTAAATATCAAGTATATGTAAATAAACATACATAAATTGCAAGTGATCTATTTTGAATTATTTTAACATTAAACTCTTTGTTTTGACAATTACTGTCAAAAACCCAAATTTTGTTGTAGAAAATATTTAATTATAAATAAAAATGTTTCAAATTGCAATAAGTCCCATCCGTCAATTTAATTATTGAAAATAAAAATACAAAATCAATCTTATAAAAAGAAAAGAAAAAACCTTAAATATCTTGTTCATTATGTGTAAAATCAATTTTGATTTATCACAAATTTTAACTCTCCCCTCGAAACCAATCATTTGTTAGGAATTATTTATTTACTGGCTGAAGGACCATAACAGTTCGTCTACGGTCAGAATTCCCCCCACCGCCCGCCATAACGTCTGAAACCATGCTGCCATGGAAACAAGAATAGCGCATTTCTGGGCCGGTAGCTTCTCTTCTCTCTAGGGCTAAGGGGCCTCCCCGGCCGAGCGGTATCGCCGGTCCAAACGCTCTGTTAAGCGTGGAGGTAACGGGTTCGATTCCCGCTGTAACCCTGGATGCATTCTTTGTGATGTCTTTCTCTGAATTGTTCTATCTGTATTTTCTACTTGACAATGACTTATAAGCCTATATATTGAGCAAACAAGTCAGCAAATGTATGTAATCTCAATAAAATAAAATAAATCTAGGGCTAACCAATAGACTGAAGAAAGATCCCCCTTCTGTCGCCGTGACCCCACACCCCTACTTACTACGCTAATAGTCATACCTCGTTACCATAGTCACCGCCACAGGTCCAGATGAATGTCTGGTGTGGGGGGGGGTCTTATTTTCGACAAACGATGCTGTTAGGTAAACCAAACCTAAATAATCAGATTAAAGGTCACGTGATTTATTTTTATGGGAGATAAACTGTTAATAATGGTAGGTTTTAAAGATTTTTTTTTCCATCATACTCGCCGTGCATTTTTCCATATATGGGTGATTCTTGCGAAACATGACAATTCAGTCTCTTGCTCCAAGGTCTAATACTATACTACTAAAAGAACTTTTTTTTAAAAAAAATTGATAAATAGCATTGCTGTGAGCATTTTAAAATGACTTTGCACTAGCATTGACTGTTTTGAATAGTTAAAATATTTAATTGCATATCAAAATGTCATTTTCCTGGTATGTCTTAAACAATAGTTACTAGCTTCAAAACTTCCCATACATTTTTCAATATCTAATTTTATCTCAACCATTGTAAGCATTTCTAGAATATATGCAGAGGGTATTATTTCCAAAAACTTTGTTGAAAATAATTTTTTCTGTCAATAATTTGTCTGTCACTTGAAAGTCAGTCATTTTCTTGGCAGTTTTCTTAGTAATTTATAACCAAAATAGATAGCGCCAGCAATCAATATCTTAGGTTAAGAGATTGATTAGAATTCTATCAGAACATGTCTAATTGCAGGAATAAAGAACCAACTTTCTAAGTCAAAATGTATTTCAAAAATTTTACAAGGTGAGAAGGTTTTTAAATTGTAATTTTTCTGACCTCTTGAAATCATTAATAATAAACTATTTACATTTACATTAGCTATTTCACGAAATCCTGATGTTTTCTGCAGAAATTAAACGTCTTAAGCCAAAATCTTAAAGTAATGTTAAATGCTGTAAAATGACTAAATTGTCATTATCCTGACTTATAAGTTCCAGGACACTAACACAGTTATAAGAAAATTTTTTAAGCACTATAATGTAAAGAGAGGGAAAACTATTATACACAATTTTATTCTGTACATAACAACAAAAACATTTTTGATTCTTTCTACAGTGGATAAAGTAATTAATTTAAACAATTCGTGGTTCCTCTAACGCAAAAGGCTTTAGGTTATTTTTTCTTCTTTCAAAACACGGATAGTTAAAAATATAAAGGATAAACTAAGAACATCACTGTACAATTTAATTCTGTCAGTCTTTAAACACTGCTTGGGTGCATAAATTAAGGAATGTAATAAAGTGGTAAAATAAAATTATTAGAAATATTTTAAATTTAAATAATATTATATAAAAAATTTCGATGTAAATTATTATAAAATTAATTTTAATGTAAAGTTTTATAAAATTAATTAAAGAAATTCCTAAGATTATCATTTGTAATGTAGGAGTTTTGAAGTTGTTCATAAAGATATTAAAGTTAGCTTTATTATCCGTGCTGGCAAACAGACTGCTAATCAAAAAAAGTCTGTGTCAAAATTTTTTAGAATATCACAAATTCAAAAATGTCTGCTCCTTATCCAATATCTTCCAGGCATTTTGCTTCCTTTGAAAGCTTCAAGATTAATAAAATTTTGCAGTTTTTTTGTTTTCTTTGTTTTAACTGTTTCTTCGCAAATTAAAGTGTAGTAAAATTAAAAACTAACTCATTGTGTGGGTTACTCGCTCACTTTCATTATATTTAAAACATTTATTAAAATTTTTCACAAACTAATTATTTTTGAATTTTATTTACATAAAAACGTAAAACGTTAAAACTCAAATTTGTCTTTTTTGAGTTAAGTTGTGTTGCTTACTATTAGCTTAAAACGACTGTTGTTTAAAACGACTTAACTTTTAAGCTAATATGTCATTTTCCTGGCATTCAAAATTAGGTGAATTTCTATTTTATTTTTTTCTTGAGAAAATGTCAATAAACTACACTGCTGTCTGTAAGATATTAATAAATGTAACTAAATAAATATACCAAAATTTTTTTTCCTTCCGAATTGTCATGTTTCCAAAGAATCACCCTTATATCCTTTCGATTTTACGATTTGAAACATAGATATGGAGCAAAACAAATCATGATTCCACAACTGAAGCAGATGTGTTTTTAACAATAAAAAGTTTTATTTTTAAAAAAGAACCGCACACTTTTCGGAATCATTTTATAATGGGAAGGGGGAAAAAAGTAGCGCATCTTTAAGATTTGTAGCGGTCGAAAAATAATGAGTAGCCCAAATTCGATTCTCAGTAGCGGTGACTTTTAAAAGTAGCCCAATCTGGCAACACTGCATGGGTGTGAACTCGACTGGATTTTACCAGTTTCTCCTGGTTTTTGTACATTTTAAAAAAATTCCTAAAATTGAGTAAATTTCCTTAAAAAATTGCTATTGAAATAGAATTTTTGCACAGATCATTGCTTGCTTGAATATTTAAATAAGTGTTACTAATAACACATTATGAAACAAGCCTCATTTTGTTTCAGTTTAAAACTTTTTGTTCTAAAATGTATAGTTTATTATTCTATAACTTCCTTTTAAAAATTAATTAAAAAAATCTTTTAACTATTTTTGATGAATTAAATTGCCTATTACTATTCAAATTTACGAGTGAACATAGTACATAACATTTCAAGTTCATTTAATGTCAATCATATCCGGAAAATAGTGCAGTTTTTCTAATTTGATGATTATAAAAATCCCTATTATTCCCTATGTGTAAAATGTTTTGTACATTATGCAATGATTATCATGAAATTTATATTCTTTCGTAAAATCTACGGGATTTTTTTCTCTCTCCAAGCTTTAGTCATTGAATGGATATTTGTTATTGTTTGGATATTGTTTGTTTTAAAGTTTATTACATCATTATTATATTTTATGAAACAGAATTTAAAATTTTTTTTATTTTTAAATTTGGGTCATTAATAAATTAATTCAATGTTCTGCAACCAGTGTAAATTGCACACTAAAG